GAGAGAGTCTCACTTATTTATTTTCTTTCATTGAGTTCTTATCCTTGACACAAGTTTGAGTATCATAGGCTTAAACTTTTTTCTATTTGTAAACAAATCAATCTTTTTATTTATTAATTATATATACCAAATTCTATGAAGATCTATCTTATATTCTACATGTCTTTTTTTGAATCTTATAAGATAGTGAATATCTTCAAAAGAAGACAAATGCTACCTCTTCTTATAGAAGAAGATAATAATAAAAAATTTGAGGTGAAAGAAGCATTAGATTTAAAGCAATACCAAAATAGATTAGAATATCTTATTCATTGGTGTAGATATGGTATTAGTAAATGTACATAGGAGCCAGCAAAAAAACTTACAAATATAATAAAGAAGATTGAGGCTTTTTATTGATAATATTGATCAAAATCTAAGCTAAAGAATAACAAATCTTTGCTATAAAAGAAACAAGATTTAATAAAGATAGCATTCTATCTTCTAAACTTATTTGTAACTTTTATGTATTTGTGATGCTAAGAAGATGGAAAGCTAAAAACTAATAGATTCAATTTAAGAGCTATCACTTACTAACTTATTGGACAAGACATTTCAATTGTTACAATCTTCAAGTCAATATAATCGAGATGAAGATCCTCAAGAATGACATGTCTGTCTTCAAATAGATAGCAAGATACAACAAGTTTGATATCATGACCTTGAAAGAGATTTTCAATGTTTGATGATTTTATTTGAAATAAGAAAAATTCTTGATGATATTCTAAATATTTTATTTGAACGGAGTTATAAAGGTCTCAATAATAATCAAATAACAAGGTGGTCTTTTTTCCTTAATTAAGGACATTATTGATAGTTGAGAGGTCCTATCAACCATCTTTGATGAGAACAAAGATTAGAATATGTGACAAACATAATTTATTGCATATAGATTTCTTCAATATATGATGATTTTTCTTTGTGGAAGCCATTCCTAAAAAAAAAGTAATATCAAAAATATATATGTTTGCTTTAACATTTATCTATATGATTAAGTAAAAGTAGATAAAAGTAAATTTATTTCATAATATTTTTTTAGATATGCTTCCTAATAGCTTCATAGATACTACTTTAACTTTACATGTATTTGTATTTGATTAATAGGTTAAAAAATTGATCAACAGGTTAACCATGTATTGATAGCTTGTTTCACAAGCTAACTATGTGACCCACATATAAAAAAATTGCCTTACAAGTTAAGATATGTGTCTTGCAAAGTCAACACATTTTGGAGGTCCTATAGAAAATTACCATATAACTCCTAGTTAAGAGTATATATAGAGGCAAGAATAAAGCCTTCTTAATTCTTATCAATTCTTTTGTAGTTGTTAGTCTTATTTTAAGATTTTTTAAACTTCTTGTCTTTGACAATAGCTATTTTAATTTAATACTATATCGTCTTTTAGTGATTTTCTAATCTTTTTGAGTGACACAAGAGTATATTGACTTTTAATTTCTTTAAAGTTCATGTCCTTAAAAATATATTTATCAAGATAAAAGAATTAGATAAAAGTAAGTAGATTTGATAATATCTTATACAAAAGCTTTATTGACCCATATTTTACTTTTTACATATTCATAGATGATTGATAAGTAAAATATTTATCTAATAAGTTCGCCACATGTCACACATGTTTATAATTTATGTTATAAATTGGTTATATGGTACACATACAAAGAATTTATCTTACAAGTTAGACATGTACTTTATAAGTTTGATACATGTTAGAGGTCCTACAGAACATTGCCATATAGCTCCTAATTAGATATTATATATAGAAACAAAAGTATTTTTTTTATTCTTCTTATCAATTCTTTTCTTACTTTTAGACTAGTTTCAAGAATTTTTAGTTTTTTAATCTTTAATAATAGCTATTTTAGTTTTTTCTTGAATATATATTTTTACTTTTTTTATCATCTTTCTTTGAAAAATGTCTTACTTATTTATTTATATTCTTTAAATTCTTGTTCTTAAAAATGAGTTCTTATTTTGATTTTAAAAAAAGATAGATTATTGTAGATGTATATAGATTAGTAAAGACACAAGAAGATTACAATAAAAAATATATATTTTCTATCTTTGATATTAAGATTTATTAATTAATTCAATTAAGATAAGATTTATACAAAAAAATCTAAAAAATAATATACAATCTTTTACTTATTAAAAAATAAAAAAATATAAGAGTACAATTCAAACTAATTATTGATATTTTGAATATAATATCATAGCTTTTAGACTCACAATTGTACTAGTTACTTTTTAACATTCAACAAATAATTTTTTAAAGAGTTTTAAGATGATTTTTTTCTGTTATCTAAACAACATTTTAATCTATCCTAAGAACAAAAAATATATAAATTCTTTATTATAAAATAAAATATATTTAATAAAGATTGTATTCTATCTTTTATTTATTTTTTTATAGATTTTATATATTTATGGCATTAAGAAGATGGAAAATTAATAATTAATAGATTCAACTTAAGAGTTATTCTTTGCTGAGTTACTAAATAAGACATTGATATTGTCATAGCCTTCAAGATATCATAATAGAGATGAAGACCTTCAAAAATTTCATATTCTTTCTCAAATAGATATTGAAATATAACATGTTTAGTATCACAAAATTGGAAGAAATCCTTAATATTATGTGATATTATTATAGGCAGAAATCATATCTAATAGTATTTCAATTGTTTTATTTGAAGAAAGTATGAAACACTATTGATGATTAAGATGATCTATTAATTACTCTTAAAGATTACAAAGATTAAAATATGTGATTAATATGATTTGTTGCATCTTAGACTTCAACATGTGATCACCACTCTTTATGGAACTTATTTCTAAAAAGGAAAAAACTGGAGAAGTAATGTCACAAACATCAATATTAGCATTTGTGATCAGATGATTAGAAGAGTTATGAAGAAATAAAAGTAAATAAATTTGATAATATCTTATGGAGAAGCTTTATAGACATGGATTTAACTTTATAAGTATTTGTAGGTGATTGGTAGGTTAAAAACTTGGCAAAAAAGTTAACCACTTATGGTACAAATTGGCCATGTATTATATATATATATATATATATATATATATATATATATAACTTACAAATTAGACACATGTTACATGACTTATAAAACATTTCCACATAATTCTTTAATTAGATAATATATATAGAAGCAAAAATGAGGCCTTCTTTGCTCTTGTCAACGCCTTTCTTGTGTTCTTGTCTTAGCTCAAGAAATTCTAGTCTCTTTGTATTTTGTAAAAGCCATCTTATATCTATCTTTGATCTTGACTATTTGATCTTTTTGAATGTCACAAAAGTATATTGCTTCTTTAGGATTTTATTATGATTTATATCCTTGATATATATATATATATATATATATACAATTAGAAAGACAAAAGGTGATCTAACTCCAATTGCATTACAATTATTTTATTCCATTTCCAAAAAGAACCCTTGCAAAAAGTGCATTTCAACAATTCCACCATAATTACCAACATGCTAATTTGCTTAAGCAAATTTGATTACCACCAATTTGAATACTTATTGGTACTATTGATAAAGCACCACATGACTTGTTGTCATAGATATACTATATATGAGACCAAACAAGAAGTAGAATTAAAATTTTTCAATCAAGTTGTTTACAACTAGTAACGGCAACCCAATGCAACAATCAAAAGGAAGTCATTCATCCACGACAAGTACAGAGATGAATGTAACACCTAGAAGATGAATAACATCCAAGTCGGAATGAAAGACATCCAAGGGCCACTCACCTTCCTTTCTTCCTTCCTGCTCCCTCTCGCTCCACTAGACACAACGCAATTCCGCGCAACCCAATTCCAATTCCGCTATGCGAGCAATCGGGTGCGCGACGCGACGTGGAAAAAGCAGCGTGCACCGAGCCAGCCGCATCGCAAAGGAGCACGCCTAGGGCGATGATGGGCGGCAGTATCAACAGCAAGCCAACTAACTGGAAGGTAAATAGGAAGAGAAATGGGAAAAATGGGGAAGCAGAAATTGTTAATGGGAAAGGGAAATGGGGTGAAGGAGGAGTGGAGGCCCGGCGGTGTAGGACAGGGGAGGAGGGGGGGTTACTAATTTTATCATCAGAAGAGGTGTAGTTGTGACTCCATACCATAGCCAAGTTACAACAACAGACAGCATCATCCTTATAATAATAATAAGTGGGGTGGGGATACTGGAAGGCGATCTTCCTCCTCCTCCTCGCAGCAGCAGCAGCAGCATTAGCATCAGTATTAGCAGCATTCGTCTCTCCCCCTCCTTTTCCTTCTTCTTCTTCCTTCAGTGCTTGCCAGGGCAACAGATTAGAGGTTCGGAAGAGGAGAACGTGCTCAGGTTGGAGCCTTTGCTGCTCGATCTGGTTGAGGGAGGAAGGGGAGTAGGAGTGGTGATT